GTATTATTTCATTGGTTTATGTTTCTAATACGAGGCCTTTAAAATGCTTTGGCCGTGTGGGGCCTGCAACATGGGCCCTTTCCCAAGGCCGCCCGTCCCCACTGCTGCCTGCAGGCCTGCCCATGACTTCACTGGCGCCCGGTGACCCAGCTTCGGCACCCCAGGCCACAAAAGCCAAGGGGCCTTGTGTGCTTTTTATGGGGACGATAACAATCCCACCATTTAAGGCGCGCACATTGTGGGCCAGGCACTTGGTTGACCGTAATCCTTCATACGGTGAGGAAAGGACCTGCATTTTACAGATAACCTCTCTGAGCCTCCCTTAACCTCAGGAACTTGACCAAGGTCAAGGCCATGTGGTGGGGAAGTTGCCAAGCTGAAGCTCAAACCTGATTCCTGGGCTCTTCCACACCCAAATGATAACAATGAGGACCTACTGTGTACGTGGGAAGCGAAGGAAGGATCAGCAATGATACATGTGAGTATATTTATCCTGGGTATGTCTACTGCAGCAGAGGAGGCTGAGTGACCAACACACACAGAGGGTGGCAGCTGACATTTCGAGAGCATCCACGGTGTGCCAAGCAGTTCATGCCTTAACTCACACAACAACCTTACAGGATGGACACCACTACTGTCCCCACCTCACAGATAGGAACACTGTGGCCCAGCAAGGTTAGGGAACTTGTCTAGGTCTTGTGACTAGGAAGAGGTGAAGACAGGATTCCAACATGGGCAGTCCATGCTCTTGGCCACCCTGCTGGACTGATGTCCAGTAACAGGTTCAAACATTTCAATAGCTTCCTCCTGGCCCAAGACCTGACTGGCCACTTCTAGGACCAATTTAAAATGTAACCCAGTGTTACAGGAGTAGTCAAAATGATGTGATGTGATGGTCAAACTATTAACTATTAGTTTTTCCCTGTATTCATTTTCTTACTCGACAAGATTTTATTAAGCACCTAGGATATACCAGACATTAGGTAAGGGGGGTAAAGACCCTCTCCCACTTATTCATGTCGTTTCTCTGGTGCTTGGCAGACAGTAGGTACTCAGAGGTTCATGAATGATCCAGGATTCAGGGCTCCCTTTACACCCGTCAGACAGATTGTTTCCTACTATGTATGAAGGAAACTGCCAGGGGCATCAGGCTGCTGTTATTTTTTCCTTTGAAAATGAAAGGTCTGATGATCAAAACCCCTAAGACAGGAATCCCTGAGGACATTTAAAGGTGGCCTTCCGCTGTGTGCCCACCACCACAAGTTTTATTTAGCTACACTTGTTTTCTCCCTTCTAAACTCAGATCGAGACAGGAGGGAAGAGGGTAGGGCACAACCATTAAAAGTATGACACAGCTGTTGAAGATACAACATAAACTGGTTAGAACCAATGAGGTCCAAGATGGCAGAAGATTTGGCTTCCAATAGACTCTGAGCCTCATTATACGCTTATTGTAATACATTAGCATGCTAAATGACATGCCCACGATGCCATGACGGTTCCCAGGCTGACCACAGAAGACCAAAAAGTGGGCAGAGGCCCAATTCCTGGAAACCCCTGCCTCTTCCCCAAACCAGCTGGAATAATCCCCCTACTCACTGGCATATGAAATTACCCAGCCCATTAACAACTCACCACTCCCACACCTTGGGCCGCTGATCCCTCTGAGATGGACGGCATTCTGTCTATGGAACGTGATCTCTCTAAATTTGCTTTCGCTTTACTATGGTTCACTCCTGAATTCTTTCCTGCGCAAGATAGAACCAGTTAGATTTTCCAGTAAGAAAATCAATAAACTGCAAGACCATTTTGTAAGAATCTCATTGGGCCAATTCACAGTATGATTTCTTGGACCCAGAAACAGCTGTGTATACAGATCTTCCTTGACTTCCAATGGGGTTATGTCCTGAAAAACCCATCATGAATTGAAAATATCATTAAGTCGAAAATGCATTTAATACACTTAACCTACCATCATCACTTAGCCTAGCCTACTTAAACATGCTCAGAACGCTGATATTAGCCTAGAGGTGGGCAAAATCATCTAATACAAAGCCTATTTTATAATGAAGTGTTTAATAGCTCATGTAATTTATACTGATAGTGAAAGCCAGAATGGTGTCTGGGTACAGGATGGGTGTTTGTGTATTGGTGGGTTACCCTGGTGATCGCGTGCTGACTGGGAGCTGCGGCCCCTGCTGCTCCCAGCATCACCAGAGAGCATCGTATCACATACCACTAGCCTGGGAAAAG